CAGTATTGAGGTGGGAGCCCAGCCTGGTGGAGTAGTTAGCAAACAACTGCAGTGCTGGAAACCGCGTGGCCAGCAGTGGGTTGGGTTCCCTGGGTTGGCCTGAAAACATGCTGAGCAGTGTATGTGCCCGAGATAGTGGCAAGCTGGAGAGCTGTGGGAAGAGGATGGCAGACACTCTCGATGGTGCTTTTCTCTCTCCCTTGTGCACACTCTGTCATGAATAACTAAAATTCAAAAAAAAAAGAAGTGGGACCTTGAAGAGGCGAGTAGGCCACGAGAATGCCTCATAAATGGAAGAATGGCATCATCACAGGAGTGGGCTCACTAGGAAAGGATGAGGTCACCCTCCTCTCTTGACCCTCCACCTTTCACCGTGGGATGACCAAGAAGGTCCTCCGCAAATGTAAGCGCCTTAATCGTTTTGTCCACTAGAGGGCGCGTGAGCTCACCAGAGAGCGAGCGAGGCCAGGAGAGGCAGAAGCACCCCATGGGGCGTGGTCATGCCACATCCCTTCTCCTCCGTCTGTCCTTCCTATCAGGATATTGGGCACGCACGCACACACACCCACTGTGTCTCTTCAGCCCCTGGGTCAGGATTCCAATTGCTCATGTGGGGACCAGTCGCCTTAACCACCACGCCACGGAGCCAGCTCAGAGCCTTGGTCTTAAGCCCCCATGGAGCCTTATGAAGCGGTGCTCCTTCTTGACCCGAGCAGCACACAGCTGTGAGTAGACAGGTCACGCTCCTCACCGGTGATTTCCGCATGACCGGCAGAGGAGAAAGGGACAGCTTTAGGGCAGGAGGGAGCTTGAGTTGGAGTTCCCTGTTGCTCGGCGCTTCAGGACACCTGCATGAAGAGGAGGGAGAAGGGCTCGGCCCTGGAAGGTAGGCAGCTCGTGGGGAAAAGCTCTGCCTGGAAGCGGTGGGCCTGGGGCTGAGGATGCACACTGCTTCTGGAGGAAGGGGCAAGGGCGTGGTTACCTAGAAGGCTTCAGCTGGAAGCTCGGTTTCGCCCTGTAGTAACCACCGAGCCTCCTTATTTCAGAGCCTGTGGCCCCATCTGTAGAGTGGTAGTGATGCTAGGACCACCCTCTGGGGTCCTACAGCATGGGCTCCTTCTTCTCTTTCTTCCTTTCTGCCCCCCTAATATCTCCATCCCCTTTCACCCCTTGGACTGACGTCTTAGCTCCCCCCAGCCACAAATCTGCCGCCGCTGTCCCTGCAGGGCCGTCCACACGCTCCTGTACCCCCTAGCTCAACCCTGTTTGCGAACCCACGTGGCCTTTCCCTTCTCAGAGGATAGCACCGTTCCCCCTTCCCAAGTCAGAGCTGGGTTATGCACACGTTCAGCTTTCCACGCGTGAGAAATGGTCTCCAGGGTCAAAGCTTCTTGGCTGTTTCCAGAGACGGGCCCCCCCTTCCTGACTCCTGCTCTCCTGGGAGCTGGGGGAACTGAGCAGCCGACAGAGACGGTCACACACACCAGGAGCCAAGCATGTTCGATTTACTAGGGTCACACCTGCAGGTGAGATAACAGCACACACACAGAAGTCCGCGGGCGGAGGCACCACCCTAACACCACCAGACACCGAAGCAGCAGCAGGGCTCAGGAAGTGGCTTTGGAAAGTTCTCGTGAAAATCCAAGGGCAGCTTTGGTGCTCAGAGATTCAAACGGAAAACGATACAAAACCAATCCATAAATATATATATATTATATGTGTGTATATATAAAATTGCAAAATAAAAGCCCAAGAGACGAACCATCCATCTGCACGTCAGTGGCTCAAAGAGTGTTAGCATAGGGAAAGGCAAAACTGTGGGGACGGTGCGTGATCCGGGGGGCCGGCATTTCAGTAGCAGAAAGGGTATTTACATGGAACCCCGATTCGAAACCTCACAGTACTAGGGGCGGCTACACACAGACGATGTATGTACAAGGGAAGACAGCAAGTAGTACTCTCGCGTGACGATTGTCAGACACGGACAATTCACCGAAACCATCCAGAGCTTTAGAGAACACTTCACTATCTAGACCGGGTTCCTGCTACCCCGTACCCCAGCCAGGCACTCCCAGGCTTGGGGCCGTTTGTCTTCCCTGCCCCCCTCCCCAGCCCTCTTCCCAGGAGGGGCACACCGTGGGACCCAGCGCAGACTGCAGGGCCGTCCCGGGTATCAGTCACCCACCAGGCAGGACCCACAGGCACGAGGAGGAATTGAGATGCAGGGGAGTTTCTTGAAATGCATTCCTGTCTTATAAGGGGCTTGGCTGTTTTTCAAGGGTGCTCTGCCCTTGATCCAACTGTCATCCTCCTTCTAATTCCCTTTAAGAAGGAAGACCTCACCTTTGGGCTTGTGACAGTTACACAGCATGATTTACTGGAGGGGAGGTGTTCTCCCACCACCTCCTAAACTCTCGTGGTGTTCCCTTACATGACTTAAAAAGGAGGGCTTGTCACACCACGGCCGGCCGGCTTCGTCCTGAGGCTTCGAAAACAGGATTGACTAGGAAAACTTTGACGAGGAAAACAAAGCTTTTCTCACACCTAAGTCCCCCTCTGCATCAGTGGCCATCTCGTCTCCATTTTCAGACGCCCATTTCTCACAGCGATGACCCAAGGTTGGGGTGGAAAATCTTGAAGGCAAGTGGCAGCAAACAATCCCGCCTAAGTATGACCCAGTGTGAGTCTTTACGTCTCTGTTTTTAATAACACCCTCGAGTGGAGAACCTTCCTAAAGATTCCAAGGAACCTGTGTTCTCAAGGGAACTGCCTCTGCAAAAGGATGCAAGGTCTTTGTTCACTAAAGGACAGCCCACCCGAAACTCCCCCGGGATTTATGGAGGCGTGTGGCTTCTCACTGGGAGAGGCCAAAGGCAGGTGGGCCCGCCTCGGTGACAGAGCTCAAGGAGTGGTCACTCCTTTCTGACAAAGCAAACGGCCACATCGGAGCAGACAGGTGAAGACAGGGTTTAGAGAGAACCAACCGCCGTGGGTGTGTTCGCCTGGTACAGGTGGTAACCGACGAGCCCCTTCCTTCCTGTCCACGTGACACGAGGGCCCATCGAGTTGTGTATTATGGGGCGTCCTGTCCTCTCTGTGGACACAGCGAGCACGGGTGTACCCCTCCCTCATTTCTCCTCAGGCTCTTTGAAGTTGATGGTGTTAGAGAGTTCGGCTGGGCTCGAGTGAGAACATAGGACGTGAGGAGACCACTTCCCTGTGCCCAGAGCCAACCACCGCTGTGCCGGCCGACCCACGGATGTCTGCTGCCCCACACGTGTGAAACGAGTCAGGGGTAAATGTGTTCTCACTTGGCCAGTGGCAAGAGCTGGTTACTCTTGGCCTGGCACTAGAACATAAGATTCACACCAAGGGGGCCAGCAGGTGGCATAGTGGTTAAGGCGCTGGACTTCCATATAGCCGACTGTGGTTTGAGTCCCGAAGACTTAAAACTCACGCCGGGCATGTGTGCGTGTGTGCCCAAAATCCCAAAAGGAGAATGGAGGAGAAGGGACTGCAGTGTGGCCATCCTCCCTGGGGAGTGATTTCTCACTTTTTGTCTCTCTAGTGAGCACATGTGACCGATAGCAAAAAATCTCTAATAAATAAACAAATAAATAAATAGACCCAGCGCAGACTGCAGGGCCGTCCCGGGTATCAGTCACCCACCAGGCAGGACCCACAGGCACGAGGAGGAATTGAGATGCAGGGGAGTTTCTTGAAATGCATTCCTGTCTTATAAGGGGCTTGGCTGTTTTTCAAGGGTGCTCTGCCCTTGATCCAACTGTCATCCTCCTTCTAATTCCCTTTAAGAAGGAAGACCTCACCTTTGGGCTTGTGACAGTTACACAGCATGATTTACTGGAGGGGAGGTGTTCTCCCACCACCTCCTAAACTCTCGTGGTGTTCCCTTACATGACTTAAAAAGGAGGGCTTGTCACACCACGGCCGGCCGGCTTCGTCCTGAGGCTTCGAAAACAGGATTGACTAGGAAAACTTTGACGAGGAAAACAAAGCTTTTCTCACACCTAAGTCCCCCTCTGCATCAGTGGCCATCTCGTCTCCATTTTCAGACGCCCATTTCTCACAGCGATGACCCAAGGTTGGGGTGGAAAATCTTGAAGGCAAGTGGCAGCAAACAATCCCGCCTAAGTATGACCCAGTGTGAGTCTTTACGTCTCTGTTTTTAATAACACCCTCGAGTGGAGAACCTTCCTAAAGATTCCAAGGAACCTGTGTTCTCAAGGGAACTGCCTCTGCAAAAGGATGCAAGGTCTTTGTTCACTAAAGGACAGCCCACCCGAAACTCCCCCGGGATTTATGGAGGCGTGTGGCTTCTCACTGGGAGAGGCCAAAGGCAGGTGGGCCCGCCTCGGTGACAGAGCTCAAGGAGTGGTCACTCCTTTCTGACAAAGCAAACGGCCACATCGGAGCAGACAGGTGAAGACAGGGTTTAGAGAGAACCAACCGCCGTGGGTGTGTTCGCCTGGTACAGGTGGTAACCGACGAGCCCCTTCCTTCCTGTCCACGTGACACGAGGGCCCATCGAGTTGTGTATTATGGGGCGTCCTGTCCTCTCTGTGGACACAGCGAGCACGGGTGTACCCCTCCCTCATTTCTCCTCAGGCTCTTTGAAGTTGATGGTGTTAGAGAGTTCGGCTGGGCTCGAGTGAGAACATAGGACGTGAGGAGACCACTTCCCTGTGCCCAGAGCCAACCACCGCTGTGCCGGCCGACCCACGGATGTCTGCTGCCCCACACGTGTGAAACGAGTCAGGGGTAAATGTGTTCTCACTTGGCCAGTGGCAAGAGCTGGTTACTCTTGGCCTGGCACTAGAACATAAGATTCACACCAAGGGGGCCAGCAGGTGGCATAGTGGTTAAGGCGCTGGACTTCCATATAGCCGACTGTGGTTTGAGTCCCGAAGACTTAAAACTCACGCCGGGCATGTGTGCGTGTGTGCCCAAAATCCCAAAAGGAGAATGGAGGAGAAGGGACTGCAGTGTGGCCATCCTCCCTGGGGAGTGATTTCTCACTTTTTGTCTCTCTAGTGAGCACATGTGACCGATAGCAAAAAATCTCTAATAAATAAACAAATAAATAAATAAATAATAAAGGGGTTGCACTTAGGAAAAAACCATGGAAAACAGGCCTACAGTAAACTACGTGTTTATCTCTGCATACCTTCGTGGAACAGTTCGAACTTTTTTTGACCTTTTAAACTTTTGGAAGTGAATTGTGCCATTGGGCAAATGGTTCTCTCAAATCCTCTGCAACTCAAGAAGGGGATCACAGCCTTTCTCTCACGTTACTGAGAGCAGAGGTAGCCCTCCGTCCGCATGGCGGCACCAAGCAACAGAGCCTCCGGATGCCCATCTCGTCAATCACGGTGAGTGACACGGGGGCGGGATTAGGCTCAGTCTGCATAAAGTCGCAGCCCTGGCGACGCCTCTCAGTGGGTTCTTAGGATGAGAACCTACTACTCTTCACCTAGTCCTTCAGAAAGAGCTGATCTGCCCACTGAGGAAGACCGTCGCTCCGGTGAGAGTGCTGACGGGGAGTCAGCCTTGCGTGCATAACCTGGCCAGGGCGAGACAGTTTCCTGAGTCACTTGCAGGCCAGGAAGTTCGTGTAGAGCCCAGACCTGGACTGGGAGTGTCTCTAGGCAGCGCTTTTTTGCTGGAAGGCCACGTGGTTCAATGGTTCTCTCACATGCTACTGGGTGCCAGCTACCAGTGCAGAGTTGGAATCAAGCTTGTCTCTCTGCAGCCATCGATCCCTCTGCCTTCCCTCCCCTACTCCTGTCTGCATCCCATGGGAACAGCCTAAAAAGCCTCTCCACTTCCCAGCCCCGCCAGCCGTGGTGCAGAAGATTGGTTCAAATTTTCTCACACCTTTTCTGTGGCGAATCGAAGCACCGTGGCTCAACTAGAAATGAACCTGCTATGAGCCTTGAGCATTCAAATATATGTTTCCTCTGGTTAGATACTAGTCTAAGCTTTCAGCCAACACGTGTCCAGAACCAAAGAAAATGCCCTTCCTCTTACCCTAAAAGCCCGTCGCTCTGCTTGGACCACACGTCTGCTTCTGCGACATTCGGGCACATCCTCAAGCCTGGAGCTAAGCACGCCACGTCCACAGAGCGGCAGATTGCCCGACAGCCTCCTGGTTCTACACTGAGACAGAACTGAATCCGAAGCTGGGAATAAGCATTAACTCTTTGACCATGTCCCCCTTCTTGTCGAAAATCTCCCTTAAATGCTTTGTCCAAAGACCTTTATAAACATGAAAGCTGTGCTGGAAACTATTTGCTCCAGAGGAAGGTTTCATTTAAGATGGACCATCAGGCAGGTTTGAGCACTGACCTTCCAGAAAGGCCTCCTCTTATCACCCAGGCCTCCAGCCCATTCCTTGCCAGTCCTTTCTCCACTCAGCCACCAAAGGGATTTTTCTAAAATACAGATCTTATTATGACCCTCCCCTGCCCAAGAACGCTTAGTGGCTTCACATGCCTTATGTGACCAAGTCTATTCCACTCCCCTTTCCACGAGTCTCCCTACAAAGCGGTCCCGCCTACCTGTGAAGTGAACCACCTGCTGCCTCCCACTTCCTGCTCCGCAATCCCACCTTGCTCAGTGGGACACGCCTTGGGGTTTCAGGCTTCCATGCCTTTGCACCGTTTCTTCTCTCATCGGGAAAGCCTGCCAACTCTTTTGTTCTCCTGGAAAATGCCTCTTTGTTTTGAAAGCCTAACTGAGCCAGTGCTCCTTTCAGAAAGGTTTCTCTGGCCCCTAAGAGGTGGCATAAGATGGTTGCTTCCTTCTACCGCCTCTGCGCCCCGGCCTGCTTGGTCACTTGTCTACCCACTGCCTAGCTCATGAACTGCTTGGCAGCAGGAACCGTGGCCTACCCTCATGCCTGGCCCATGACCCAAGCTCAGTGCATGGTTTTGAATGCACGAAGAATAAACAAGCGGATAAGCACGGGATGGACCCATGGCCTAAATTCCAAGGACAATGCTCTAGCAAAGCTTCAATGCTGTCACCTGATGGAGACCTTCCAGCTGTGAAGGCAATGACGAGAATGTGCTGAAAGCAGCAGCCGTCAACACCACCTCCAAACCACAACCACTCACTCACCAAACGCCGCACGGAGGGCACGGCCGCTCCCAGCTTCTCTCCACATTGTCTCCACTTACTGTTCTAGTCACAAGGATTGCTTCCTTTTTCAAGTCGGCATAACGCCTGACACTTAGAGGATGCTTGACAAATACTGTGAAAACATGAGTGAATTCAATGTGAAGGCCGTGCAAGACTGGCTTTCAAAGGCATTTTCCATGACAGATTTTTCTGAGGCATCCCTGACCCTGACCACTGGGTTGTCCTTCATAAGATTCGACCCAGTGAGGAAGCAGAACAGAGAGAGGGGCCCAGGATGGCAATCAGGAACCCGCCGCAGAGAGTCACAGCATGGGTTTTGCTGGGTCATACATCAGTTTCCTCCCTTCTCAAGAAATAGCCAACAAGGGAGGGTCATTCCCACCCTAACCAGAAGGCTCGTGTCTCTTCTTCCTCAGTGGTTCACACCAGCTGTCCAGGTTAGCCAGTAACTTAACGCACACCACTGAGGGTGAGCGCAGTTCTCTCCTTCCAGGTGGAGACCAGTCTCAGAAATGGGTTCTGGACTACAACAACCACGCTGGGAGCTTAAGGTTGTCCATTTCACCATAACTGTTAAGAGCAAGGACTCTGGACTCAGACTGACCTGGGTTCAAATCCAGACTCTGAGCCTTTCTAGTCAAGTCACCCAGGTCGAGTTGATTATCGTTTTGTGGGTTTAGTTTCCTCACTTATAAAACAGGAATGATCATACCCCACCTCACAGGATCACTGTGAGTGCTAAAGGACATGATATATGTGAAGTTTGCACAGTGTCTATAGATAGTAAGTGCTCAAAAATGGAAAACTACCGTAGAAAACTTTCAAAAATATTCTTGCAATAATCAGGACAAAAGGGAAAAATATCCTTTGAAGACACTGTACTTTAAAGTGATTAGATTGTCTAATTGTTAGGTGGCAAGAACGCTCAGTAATTAATACCCCCACGAAATATGAAAAGATAGCATGGACATTTAAAATGATAGCTGTGACTATTACCAGGCCCCAGGATGGACAGTGACTGGGTTGGGGACACCCAAGCATTTCTCTGAGAGTTGGTCTAAGAGGATTCATGCTGAAAGGCTCATCTCTGACTCTCCTCAGCTAGACCCAGAGTGACTCAGAGTTGGAACCCCACAGGAGACAGAGTCAAGGTGCCAAGAATAAGATGCCAGTTCTCGTGTGTGAGCCAGTGCTCCTGGGTTGGAGGGAAGGTCAGGGACCCCTGACTGCTCGACAGGAGTGAGACAGGTGCAGCCACATGGCTCTGGGTGTCATGCAAAGGCATAGCATTCCCTGGGCTGTTATGACCCTCTTTGTACAACCCAAAGCCAACAGAGGATTGAATACATTTCCCATTTCTGCCCTGTGCAGGAGACATGCTGGATTTGGTTTCGATTTTGAAGCGCCTGAGACACACAACTCACATGAGGCAAGTTCCTGGCTTCTTACATTGATTAAACTATCTCCGAGGCTCAGGCTTACTTGGCTCGCCCTCATGGCTGCCGACTCTCACAACTCTTCCGCCCATCACTCTAGAGGTTCCATGAAGAAAGCTCAGGGTTGGTGTTTGGGGAAATACAAGCTAAGCCATCAGCCCTTGGGAACAAAGATTAACTTCTGTTGGAGGGATAGGTCAATTCATCTGGTTACTCTGAACAGCAGGGCAGGGACCTAAGAGCAGAGATAGCTCCATCAGCAGGAGATCGGGTTCCTGCGAACAATGGACCTTCCTCAGGGGGCAGGGAAGCCTCCACCAGTCTGATTTCGTCTGAGCCTGTGAGAGCTCACAGCCCATTAGTGACCTTCCTCCTGGGCTCAGATTGGTGGGCAATGCCCTGGTCAAGGCGGCCCACAACTAGGCAGTGTTGTGTAGTGGAGAGCGCTGGACTGGGAGACGGGGGCCTGGACTCCAGCGCAGGCTCTGCTGCTAACTAGCTGTGTGAACTTGGGCAAGTCACCCGATTTCTCTGGGGCAATTGTAAAAGGAAGGGGTGGCTGGGTGATCTCTAATTCCCCCTCCGAGTGGGATCCAGGGTCCTATTCTCTCCCTCCTTGGCCCTGTGCTTCCAGGACAGAGATGGGAGAAGGGGAGGGGAGGAGAGAGAGGATGCAGATGGGAGCCCGGGGGGTGCCGGGAATCAGGACTCCACTTTCTCCTTCTTTTTGCTCTTTTTCAGGAAGGAGGGGGTGCGGAATTTCTTCTTCTTCTTTGAGGGAGACTTGGAAGGTGAACCCTCTGGGGACATAGGGCCACTGGTGACCGACTCGGTCTTGTCCTTGGAGGTGTCGACATCCGTGTCGGCGTTGGTGGTCATCTGGCTCACGCCTTTGCTGAGAGCCTCCTCTGCAGACTGCTCCTCCTCCCGCCCGTTGACCACCACCCCTTCTGGCTGGGTTGTTTCAGGCTCTGTGGTGGCTTTGCTTGTCTCTGTCTTCTTAGCACCTTCTAGAAAAAGTCCAAAAGATATAACTCATCAGACTTCATTCAGGTAAGAGTTCCTGCCTGGGGTAACAGATCCATTTCTAGAAAATTCTATAAAGGAAGTCAAGAGCAATGGGACGGGCAGACTGGCATGAGGGTGACAGGAGTGCGGCTTTCAGAGACAGATGGCAAGATGGGGTTCTCATCTAGACTGTGTACCCCTTTCTTGTGGCCTGCCCTGGGGAACATACTCTTGGTGGGTCAGTAATTCTGGGCTCTCGTCTACAAATTTGACATAGCAGGGGCCCAGCCATGTCCAGTTGAGGGGCTTTCTAGGCAGGAAGGTGAGAACAGGCACAGGGGAGGAGAGAGGCTGCTGGAAGGGGAGAGGTGCCAGGCTCCTCAGTGGAGGCATCTAAGAATTGTAACCGTTTCATTCCACCAATAAAAATAAAGCGATCACATGTTTCACGCTCATTTCGTTTCCCATAGCAGTGAGGAACTTTGTGAGACATGGAGAGTATCCTCCCAGAGGGAGGCAGAGGGAGGATGGAATTCCCTGAGCAATATGACCGCTGTTTCTAAGGTGCCAGGATTAACCAAGGAGAAGACCTTGCTGGCTCTGTCCTGGTGGTCACTGGACCCCCCCCCAACCCCCAGGTCTTTCTTCTGCCTGCAGAACTGTTGGGATTGCTGCCATGTTCAAGGCCAGACGCTCGGGCTCCAGAGCTTGACTCTTCCTGCTGTCCTTCCTCCCCTCCCCTCACCCACCCAAGCTGCTCCCACACAAGCTTGGAGATGCCTGGGTGAGGAGGGAGAAAGAGCAATGTAAAGCCACAACCTGGAACGTAGAGAGCAACATTAAGGGCACCTGGCTCGCTGCCTCCCCGTTAGCCAGTTAGGAGAACGGAGAAGCAGTAGGATGGCAGGCAGGCCTCGGTTTCCTGACTCCGGCTCAGTGTTCGTGCTCATTCCCATGTGAAAGAAGGATGCATGTGTGGTGGGTATGAGTGTGTGAGTGCACACGGGTGTGTTGTGTGAATGCGTGTATGCGTGCAGGTGTGTGGTCGTGTGTGAATGAGCACGTGTGTGCATGAGTGTGAGTGTGCGCTTGAGCGTGTGTGTGCCCATTACTACATCCCAAGAAGAAATCCCAGCATGCTCTGCGCAGCAGGAACGCGGCAGTGGGGAAGGTACAAGGTTGTACTTCTGTATCCACAGTGTGACAGGAGGAGAGGAGAAAAGTTAGGAAAAACTCAGGGTTTCTGACGGGTAATGACTGGGGAAATGTATGCTTATGTGGAGGATGGGACAGAGGTGGGGACAGTTAGCATGGGCAAGATGAACCAACTGAGCAAGATCTCCTAGCGAGGCCTTTCGTAACTTCTGAAACTAGCTGGACAGGCCAGTCCTCTCCCAGAGGATTCTGAGGTCTCTCTCCCTCTCAGCCCCAGACTTTGGTGACTGGTTCCCATGCTTCCCACTGCCCGGCCTTATCCTGTCGTCTTCCAGCTACCAAGTTCTCTGATGTCCTTGACTCCCGCAGCCCTACTCTGGTCCCCTCCCCTCCTGCGTGTACTCCAGAACACCATCAGCCAGTCTGGACACAACCTTCTGCCCACTCCACTCTCCCCACTTCCCTTGCTCTTTGGCCTGGTTAACCGTACAGTCCCTGGGCCCCCTCTGTCATCCCAACCTGCTTCCTTTGTCTAGAAGGCCCCTCTCTTTCTTCCATGTTCCCAACCTTCGCCCTATACAATGAATCTGCTTGAGTGTTACCTCTCTCTCTGGATCCCCATATTCCAGGTAGAATTTGTCACTCTTCCTGCCTCCACAACAGTCTTCCATCACAGCAACCTTGAGAGTATTACACTTGTTTTTGTTTTTTGCCTTTTTTTTTTTAATGTCCACCTCCTACCTTCTCTAAACTAGAACAAGTTAGATCAAGATTGTCTAATTATCGTGCCTATGTGATTAGTTCAGAGCTCACACAATGTTATAAGCCACTACTCATGAATGTCTGGATGCATGAGCAAGTAAATCAATGTGTGCATGCATGCATTCTAACCAAGCCTGTGCCAGCACCCGTGTTTGCTTGTTTAGCCCAGCCCGAGCTTTCTAAGCTGAGCTGGATCCAGCCACGTGAACAAATACCTACCCCGAACACCCCTGGACTTACCCCCTGGTCCTCTCATCTTCCTGGGCTCTCGTCCCACCCGTGGTTCTGCAACCTCAGTCTAGCCCCTTGCTACAGGCCCCTCGCTTGATGGACACAGGTGGACATGTTTCCCAAGCCTGACCCTCAGCATTTCCCCCCTAAGGTGATTTTAGTACTTGCCTCCCAGTTCCATGAACCCAACTGTGGATGAAGGCTCTTACTTTCTGTCCAAGTGTCATTTCCTGCCCCAGTGGTGATGAGTGTCCTCACTCCGATGGCACTCTCATTCAAGCCTCTCACCCATGACCCTTTGCTCACACTGCCCTGTTGTCTACTAATCTATAGCCCCAGTCCCTTGTGTGTGTCTTGGTTTAGGAGAGCAACACTCAAGGTTCTTCTTACCCACATAGAAAATGAGGACATAGCATAGGACTTCTTGGCCTCCAGAACACACAGTGCACCCACCAAGGTCTCGGAGAGCTGCCACATGATGAATTGTGGGTGGAGTAGTGGTAAACAAAAAGTGGGGTTTGGAGGAGCCAGGTTCCAAACTGGGGTCACTACTCCCTCAACTATAGGGCAGAAACCACAGGAGGGCTGTATGGGCCAAGAAAAGGGGCAGCAGGACAGGGCTCCAGAAGGAAATATTACTGAGCCCTGAAAAGAATCAAGGATGGCTCGGAGGGCCTAGACTCATCCTCCTGTTAACAGCCCAAGAGAGTTCATCTGAAGACGAGGCTGGGAAGGGTGCTAGATAAAAGGGGCAGACGGGAGCTCACTTTACAGCACCCTCCAAGATGATCCACTGGCATTCCCTTCTAAGTGGTGCGTGGGGCTCTGGGAATGGGGGACAGTCGGGGACTGCGTAGAGTTGTGTGGAAGCTGGAAATGAGGGTTCTGTCCAAGGACGCTGATGGGTACTGGAAGAGTGGGAGGAGGCATCAAGGGAGCGACCATTAGGTAGGGAGGAAAAATGGCTACAAGGATTCCAGCGCTGGGGAGAGGGCTTCTGTGGGGGGTGCACAGCTGGTTTGTACTCTCTGCCTCTTGGACTTGATTTCTTACAATCTCACAGCCTCCAGCCACTTGTCTCAGTCCACCAAGGTCCTCACAGGGGCTCATTTTCTGTGTCAACTTTACTGGGCTAAGGGATGCCCAGATAGCTGACAGCATTATTTCTGGGTATGTCTGAGAGTGTTTCTGGGAGAGATTGCCCCAGCAGACTGAGAAAAGATCTGCCCTCGCCATTGTGGTTTGACAGGTGTCAGTCTGTGATGGGTCTCCCCAAGTAGAATATAGTGATGGAGTAAGGGTGAATTTTCCCTCCCTTCCTGAGCTGGGACATCCATCTTATCCAACCCGTAGACAGGAGGGCAGCTGTGTCTCAGGCCATCAGACTCAGATGAATTAAACCACTGCCTTTCCTGGTGCTCCAGTGCACACGACACATCGCAGGACTGCTTGACCTCCGTCATCACATAAGCTAATTCCCATAATAAATCTTTTCTTACATATCTCTATATTTCCTGCTATCTGTATTAGGGAGAGCCCTAATA